CTTTCCATTTTCTGGACAAGGAGTCATTAAAGTGATTTTTCCTAAATACAGAAGTCTACTCCAAGGTGACTTGTCATCTCTGCTTCTGGACTTGGGAAGAGATTGGCATTGCACAATTCCATCTCACCAGCACCCCTTACAAAACATCTCAAATAGGCATTAATGGCCTGCAGTGACTTGGTCTGTCACGCCCTGAGGCATTGGTGTCATTCTGGGTGAGATAATCTGTTCAGGACTTTTCTTTTTCCATGACTGCATTCCACCTCCTTATTTTTTCTTGTCCAGAAATGCTTTCTACTCAATCTATCTCCACCTTTCAATTCTCCCTATTCTTCAGAGAGTCGCCCAGGAGCATCCTCTTCTACTCAGCCTTTCCTAAAATGTAAACTGAGGGTCACAAAGCAATCCATTCTCCCCACTGTTCTTGGCCTGTCTCTAGCTCCTTGTACTTTCCTGGTGTCCCTGGCTTGTGAGCTGCATGGTGGATGCCACTTGTGAGCACAGTGGATGCCACTGTCTGTTTTTGGAGCTGCTTGATCTGCACTCTGGCTCATCAATTTTTTTTTTCTTTTTTTTTGGCTATGTGGTCTTAGCAAATGTACTGACTCTCTCTAAATCTGGTCTATAAAAAAAGGGTGATAACAATTCTTGCCTCATGGGTTAATTGTGAAGCTTATGTGTGTGGGGACCTGAGGATCTTGGAGGGAACAGACTAAGTTCCTGCCTTTTCTTTTTGTGGGAAAGACACAATAATCAAATAAATCTTAACAACAATGGCCATCGTGTATTCAACAGCTTCCATGTGCCATTCATGGCTCTAAGTATTTTAATGAATTACTCCATTTTTGTCTTCACAAAAATCTTGTAAGCTATGTACCATTATCTGCTTACAGATAGGAAATTGAAGCTCGGAGGCCCCAGATCACACAACTAGAAAATGGCAAGGCCAGCATTGGAATCCAGACCATAAGACCTCGAAGCCTGCACTTAAGCATTCAGAAGAAAATAAAGCCAGGAAAGAGTGAGGGGTGTGTACCCAAGGGGCAAAGCAGGCAAAAGATAAAGGAAAGGCCACCTTGGGAAGGTCATGGGAGACAGTGCAGAGACTCTGAGGCAGGATGAGCAAGAGACCAGTCTGGTCATCTTTTTGTTTGTTTGTTCTTTTGCAGTTCTGGGGATTGAACCCAGGGGCTCACCCATGCTAGGCAAGCACTCTATCACTGAGCTACATCCTCTGCCTAGGCAGACTTCGTGACTGAGGGGAGGAGGGTGCAAGATGGGGTGGAGGAGCTATGAATACTGACTATTGGAACTGCTGTTAGTTTCTGGTCACTGTCATTACAAGTCTTGCTTCTGTTAGCCTGGAAGGCAGGGACTTTATGTTTGTGCATATTTGTGCCCACACAGGGCCTGGTTCTATGACTTGGTCATAGTAGGTATTTAATATCTTTCTGGTGTTGCTTTTTAATTAGATTTTCAACCTAATTGAGAAAAACATGGGCTCTGCTGAAAATGAGAACTGGCTTTGCTACTTACTAGCACCCACAGGCAACTGGCTCTCTCCCTCTAAATCTTTCTTCATTTGTCATGTGCAGAGAGGCCATTAATTTTGTCAGAATTAGGAGAGATAATGCATAAAAATAGCCAGTGCATAGTAGACATTCAATAACTGTTATTTCTAAACCCCTCTTCTTCTCCCAACACTGATATCTTGCCCTTGGTACCATCCATTTGTTATTTCTCAACAAAATTTTCTTTCCATTCCCTGAATGCATTGGAAAGCTGCCCTATCCCGACTCCCCAGATGCTGTCCATGGGCTAAAATGTCTCTCAACTATTTATTGTCTGGGCTCCATGGAAGCTTGAGATCTATAGGCCTTTGACCTGTCCTTGCTCCAGGTGTCCTTTTGTGGGGGGATCACCTTGTCGGTGAGCAGAAATTTCAGAACTCTGCATTGCGTTAGAGCACGTACAGGCAGGGTCTCACTCTCAGACCATAGAAGACAGCCAACTTGGGGTTGTGAAGGCATCAGTGGGACCTACCATTTAGAAGGCAGTATGGATGCAGCTCTCCAGCTGTGAAGTGGGAGACTACTGAAGTGTGCAGTGTGATTGACTTACCCTGTCAACTGGCTCCTAATAAGAGAACTAGTGGTCCCTCTAGTAAATAAATAGTGGTCCCTCCAGTAGACAAATAATTGTTTTTTTTTTTTTTGTAATAGGGATTGAACCCAGAGGTTCTTTGCCACTAAACTGTATCCTCAGTTCTTTTAATTTTTGTTTTTTAAATTTTGGGATAGGTTCTCACTAGGTTGTCTAGACCAACCTTGAACTTGCAATCACCCTACCTCAGCTACTTGAGTCTCTGGGATTGTAGGCATGTACCTCCACACCCAGCAACAAATGATTCTCATTTTACTCTTGGTCAGTTCTTCAGTGATAACATTTCCTAGTACACTCTCAAACAGGAGACTACCTCTTTCACCATTGGATAGTGCTATGGTTTGGATCCCCTAAAGGCCTATGTGTTAAAGGCTTTTTCCTCAGAGTGAGGAAATGGGGGAACTTTTAAGAGGTGAGGCCTAATGGGAGGTATTTGAGTCATGAGGGTTGCTATCCTTGACAGAGATAGTAGGACCCTGACCGGCTCTTCACTACCTTCTCCTCTCTGGCCTTGAGGTGAGTGGGTTTTTTTCTGCCACGTTCTCCTGCCAAGATATACTGTCCCTCCACAGACTCAAAAACAATGGGGACAACTGATCATGGACTAAAATCTCCAAAACTGTGAGCCAAAATAAATCTCTTTTCTTCCTAAGCTGATCATCTAAGGTATTTGTCACAGTAATGCAAATCTCACAGTCCTACTTCTAGCCACCAGTGGAATTCAGGCATTTTCCCTGTTTGGTCTGAGACCTAAATCTTAAGACTTGGCTCCTTGTCATCCCTTCTGTCTCAAGCTTGATTTGTGGTGAATCATCTGAAGCATATGACCCTTCCAGAGCTAAATTTTACAACTTTGTGAGGAATTTCAGGGTGTATGTGATATGCAGAAAGGCAATTTGCAGATATGCTACAAAGTCTCAGGCCAGCTTAGCCTGGCTGTAGGCATTTCACTCATTCCCCAGTCTGGCCCATGAGTTTGCTCCACTTGAGTTCCAGGTTGGTAAAACTGGGCTCTTTCTGGGTAGACTTCAATTCTACCTCTTCTGAAGTCACTAAATAATATTGGTAAAAGAGAGCTATTGGAAGTGAGAAGGGAAGATACTGAACATCAATAAAACTTTCCTCTGGTTCAGAGGGGCTTACATGGAGGAAATATTGCAGCTTTTCAAGTGAATGTAGAATTCAGAAGAAGAAATCAATAGTATCTGTCATTTGCCAGAGTTACTGTAATAGGGCAGTGGGGCTCAACAATGTCTTGGATTGACTGGCCTTCTCTCACGTATCTATATATGGGACACACACACACACACACACACACACACACACACACACATACACACGCACTATAGAAATTTTAGAGAGAGACATTATTGGACTTTCTCTGGTCTCAAAGGATGAACATGGGATAGTCGTGTAATAAGTTTCTTGAGTAAAGGAAAACCTAAACATCCCACAACTTAAGAGTAGGATGCTGTCAGCATGTCTCCAAGAAATTGACTTAGCTGGTCATCTTGGCTCACAAACAGTCACTCCAAGGTATCTCTCAGTTAGGCAAATACAGTCTCCTGTTACCCTGGGAGAAAGGTGTAATGGTGAAATCTATTTTTTTTTTTTATGGCTTAACAGCAGCTGCTTCTCCTCTTGGTTTCCAGCACTTTGAAGAAGTTTAGATCAATCTGCATAAAAAGCTCAGGCTTCTTCTGGGTGGGAAAGGACAGGAGTATAAACTCTTTTCACAGAGTTGGGAATTAAGGGAGAATCTGGTTGATTGGGAGTGACCTGGAAACTGACAGCAAATCATTCTCATATCTCCAGAGATGAACTAACTTTAGGGGAAAGCAGTGTCAGGCTTTTTGTGACTTGGGCTCAACACAAACACTGATAATGATGGTTGTAGAAGCCACTGGAATTAATCTTGGAGACACGACTCAGTACATAGCCGTTAAGAGAAGTGTGGTCATCTGCAACCTGGGTCAGGACCTGGGCCAGGAGCATCGCCACAGGTAGAAAAGTGTCCTAAAATGGTGCAGGCGAGCTTTCAATAGTATCAGGCAACAAGAAGCAATGGCAGGAATGAACAGATTAGATTTTCCAATTGTCATTTTATTTATACTTCAAAAGCCCCTGGGATTCTTTTACAAATTTGGGGTGAACAAAAAGAGGTTGTTCCTATAGAAGTATATGTGACCTCTAAGAAGAAAAAGTATGACTGTTATGTACCAAGCTAGTGAAGTAGATCACACCAGTTAATGGGTTAAGAAACAAAGGAAATGTGTCAGAAAAGAGGCACCAATTGAGCAGAGGGGTAGAGATGGAAATGAGTCTCTGTGGGTTTGAGGGATTGTGAAAAATCTTAAGTCTATAGTGAGAAGGGTTAAATTCCGATAGTAGTCAGATATGAGCTCATATGAGTAAACAAAGTTAAATTATGGATCTGCTACTGTGGTGGCAGCCCAGAAATGTGGACTTTATAAAAAAGATATGATTTTTGGAGCATGTAAGTCCAATAAATTATTCTTATGGTGCCTGGAGAGATAAATGGCAGGGGCAGTAGTCTGGAGCCAGAGAGGTCAGCCAGAAGCATTGGTCAGGAAAGGTGGTGATGTCTAGAGGGCATAGATTGGGTCTTTATACTCACTAATGCCCCAGTAGAGTGTATATCACATAAAGAATTTGTTAAGTGGAGTGATAGCAATATGGTCTATGGTGGAAAACAATTTCTGGGTTCCTCATGGAGTCCCTGGTTTTAGAAATGGGGAAACCCAGATTTAAAGTTCTCACACTTTCTTATGTGATGTGCAATTCATTTCATCTTGTTGGAATTTTAATTTCCTTAGGTGTGAAGATCATTCAGCCATTAATTCACCAAGCACTTGTTGATCACAGCCAACTGCCATATATTCTGCTAAGTTTGGAGGAACAACTGGAGATTCCTATCTTCTGATTTAGTTGGAGAAACAAATATGCAATCAAGTGAATGTAGAATTCAGAAGAATTAATTATTATTACTATGTGGAGTACACTTTCACTGAGGATGTACAGTATAAAGTGTTGTGAGATTCTAGGCTGATTCTTATTGAACACTTTACTATGCACCAGGTACTATTCAATGGTTCTTGCTGGTATTGTCTCACTTAATCCTGATAACAATCTGTCAGACAGGTATTTATATGACCTCAATTTTCTGGAAAATTGGTAAACAACTTGCCTTAGTTTCCATAGTTAGTAACTTGCAGAGACAGGACCAGTCTAACGGTTCTTAAGAAAATTGAGAATAGATTGTATGGATGGAAGTTGATGTTCAGTGAAAAATTTATAGAGACATAATGTTTAAACTGTGTTTGAAAGCTAAGCAGGTATATGACAGATGGGAAAGGGACAATTAGAATAGCACATGCAAGAAGAGCACAAGAGCCTGAATGAACTTTTTGTTTGTTAGGAGCGCCATACGGGAGACTAGAAAATAGTATGGAACCAAGCCATATTGGGCTTTGAATTCTATATCAGTGAACTTGAACTCTATCCAAAAAAGCTTTACAACATTTTCCAAAGAAACCCAAGTTCTGAGGGACATTAACAACTGTGTATTACTAAAAGAAATGGTCGATGGATTCTGTGCTCCAGAAAGATAGAACCAATAGGTTACTTATTTATTTACTGACTTACTTATTTTAAAAAATTAGAGGTTGAGAAGTCCCAAGATCTTCAGCCAGAATGCTAGAGATTGAGGATATCTGCTGTGTAGTTCCTGTCCAAGTTCAAAGGCTTGAGAACCATGAGAACTAGCGGTCTGAGTTCCAGTCCAAAGACAAGCAGGATTGAAAACAAAGAAGACCTGATATTTCATTCAAGTCCAAAGGCTAGAAAAGACCAATGTCTCAGCTCAGTCCGTGCAGCAAGAGGAGTTCTGTTTTAGTTGACAATTTTGTTCCATTCAGTTTTTCAAGAGATTGGATGAGGCCCACCCATAGTAGGAAAGGCAATCTGCTTTGTTCAGCCCACCAATCCGAATATTAATCTCACCCAGAAATACCCTCACAGACACACTCGGAAAAGATACATGCCCATGGTTCTGACAACTTGACACATAAAATCTACCTTCACAAGGTATTAGGTATAAAAAGAGGTCTATGGTGAGTGGAGATTGATGGATGCCTACCTATTCTCCTCTTTCCCTTTTGTCCAGGAATCTATTTAGACTCCATGATGTCACATGCTTTAGGGAAGATGACCCACCTCCAGATAGAGAGGCACTGCTCAGAGGAAAATGCCATTCTTTTTGCCAGTGATTGGTCCAGAAGTGGACATGTGATCTGGATTTTGGCCAATGAAACTTGAACAGACAGCAGGGGCATATGGGAAAGTTTCTTATCTCCCGAGAGAGGCTACATGCAGAAATGGTCCCTCCCTTTCTTTGTCATGTATCAGGCCTGAGTATGATGTCTCTAACAGCCATCCAAGATTGACATGAAGACGAGGCTGACATTGAGGATGCTAGAGTAGAACAATGTGAGGAAAAGTCCCAAAGCCTGCCTTACCTCTCTGAACATCTGTTTTGTGAGGTCCCACAATAGACCTTACTTTGAGTTAAGGTTGCGGCTGTATCCTACCTGATACAATATAAAATAAGGTTGGATGCTTGGTTTATACAAAGTTAATGATAAATAAGCTTTTTAAATTCGAGGGTGTCTCATTCAATCCATCAGCATTTACTTTGTAGATGTACACTGCAAACATCTAAGATAGGATATAACCTATAGCATTCTTTCAACATGGGTGACCATGGAAACCATTGGAAAAAAGAATCCATGGGACTGATGTTCTGCAGAAATGCCACTACAGGCAATGGGGACTTGGGAGATCTTGAAGCCACCAGATCATAATACCACCCGCTCAAGGAAATCCTACCCTTTGTTTTCTAGCCACAGTAAGAGTTGTGTCTCTGGTGGTCATAAAATTTCGGTGAGCTTAAAACATAAAACAAACAAACTAAAAACTCACCCAAAACAGGTTGTAAGCCTGGGTTTATTGGTTTCTTAGTCTCCTTTCAGTTCTCAAAATCAGCAAGGCTTGTATAATTTGGTACATTCATCTCTGAACTTTGAAAAAAGTTTCCTTTCTTTTTTTAGTCGCTTTGCCAACATCTGTGAATGAAGTTGTGAGATATATATACATACATGTGTGATATATATGCACGCGTGTGTGTGTTTTCTCATCTCTTTTTTTCTGTAATGAATTATTTAAAATAACCAACTGAATGAATTTCTGTTCAGTGGATCTCTGCCTAACATCCAAGTTTCATTCAGGCTCTGGCCACATTTTTTATTTCTCTCTCTTTTAGTCCAATAGCCTCAGGGAAATGGCTTAGGGCCGCGGCAAAGGGCAATTTCAGAATGTTTTCTCTGCAGTTAATGACAGAGTGGACAAATGGCATAAAAATAAAAAGCAGATACTCCATTCCAGATGGGAAACCTTGCTTCTGTTACTTATGGTGACCCCTCTTACATTCATCATGGTTTTCAAACTGTAAGCTGCTTCAACCTCAAAAGACAAAAGGCAAAAAAAGAAGAGGGGGGAAAATGTGACAGATCTCCATGTTAGATGACTGGATCCCCTTGAGAAAGCTGCAGATTTGGGCGGGCTAGTTATCCTCAGTTTCCTCCTCCACATGATGAAATTACTGATGACTATCTCCCAGGATGGTATGACAGCTATGTGAGCTGAGGAACTCAGCAAACAGCAGAGTTCCTGAGCGATGAGGTGGCTACGTTGCTACTGGTTTCTTCCCCCATGTGGCACTGTTGTAAAGTCACCCCAGAATGTGAGGGTGTCTGTGGTAGGTGGCGACTTATCACGAACTGGGGGCCACGTAAAGAAACCCTCGCCCTGTCGCATTCTTTCCTTTGTTAGAAGAGAGGCCCCATTCCTACCCCAAAGCCCAAACTCTAAAGATCTCCCCTGGATATCCCTCCTCCATTCCATGCTCGGGTCTCACGTTGATACCCCTCATAGTCCCTCGATTCTCTGCCACGGCAGAGGCCAAACCAATATGGGAGCTTAATGAAAAGCCCAGGTAGGGCCAGGAAGGCCAGGGAAGTGGACTTTCATTTCAGGTCAAGGATCGTTGTGTTTCTTCTGACCAGGTAATTATCAGTTATGGGACAAAGAGGAAGCCTGATCAATCAACAGAGTGGAATTAAAAATTAACATGCTTTTCTATTTGCTCAGCTGTAATCTTTGAATCAGTCAATACCCAGAGCCTGGGCCAGTAACCTGGTTTGAGGGCAGCCACAGATTCTGCTCAAAGATCAGCCCAAGTAAACAAATAAGGCCGAGACCCAGTTGGGCAAGACTGGGATTAAATACATCTAGGAGCTGGATACTCAAAAAGTGCTTTCTGGGGGCTGGCATGTAGAGGGCTGGTGTGGTGGGTTTGAGAGGACCCAGAGCCCCAGTCTTTATAAATGGCATTTATTCCTAATGCTCATTCCAAGGAAGGCCAAGGGAACTAGTGGACACACTTCCCTTCTCTCCTTTATCCTGCTCCTTTCTCTCTTCCCAGCCCAATATGGTGGCTCAGCAGGGCAAATGGAAGTGGAGGGGGGTCTTGTCAGAGACATGAGTGATATGTTTATAGGAGTCTGAGGTACAACCAGTCAGAATTGGGGCATAATTTCTTCACACTCCTTTCATTTTGAGGGGCAAAAAATACCTGGGAAGTAGATCTTCATTATTTAAAACTATCTATTAACAGTTACTATCACTTTGTAGGTACTCAGTAAGTACTTGAATGAATGAGTCAGGCATGGTGGTGCTTGTCTGTAATCCCAGAGGTTCAGGAGGCTGAGACAGGAGTATCGCGAGTTCAAAGCCAGACTCAGCAAAAGCAAGACACTAAGCAACTTGGTGGGACCTTGTCTCTAAATACAGCTAGGAATGTGGCTCAGTGGTCAAGTGCCCCTGAGTTCAATCCCCAGTTCTCCCCATACCCCCACCAAAAAAAGAAATGAATGAATGAAATAAAGACTGTGAATAGGGAATCTACAAGACTAGGAATCAGAGAATAGGAATTTTAATCTACATTCAACCAATTACACATAATTGTCGATCTCTGTATCATCATCTCTTTCTTTCTCTTACTGCTTTTTCTCTCAATTTCACTCTCACTCTGGGTATTATATACAACATAACAAGATGAGGGGAGGAGGATGTCTGAGTTTGCCCCTGGAGACAGTTGGAAATGTTTGAAGATATTTTTGGTTGTCACAACTGGGGGAATGCTGGCATCTGGTGGGTAGAGGCTGGATATGCTGCCAATCATCCTACAACACAGAATTATCTGGCCCCAAACATCAATAGTGCAATATTGAAAAATACTCATAGAAAAGAATGTTGCCAAATGGATCATAATGAATATTTATGGGGAAGGAGGTAGAACAGAAGTTTGGAAAACTTTCCACTTACTAAGTTAAATTGTTTATCAATTTGGGGGATTTTTAAATCAATACCAATGTATCACATTTATAATCAGAGTAGCTTAGACAGACATAGAAATATTTACTGAACACTTAATAAATAGGTACTATCTAGACCGTGGGGATATAGAAATGAGTAAATAGTAGATGCTGCACTTAAGGGGCCAGATCAACAGGGAAATTCAGACAAGCACTCAGCAGGGTAGAAAGTGCATGAACTTACTGAAATATTACCTTTTTATTTTTTTTTTCAATTCCAAAGAAAAAGCACTTGGTGTCCCCAGGTATAATTACTAGGAAGCATGGTTCCAAAGCACAGTAAGAGTGCTTCCTGCCTTAGAAGGAGCAGGTGAGACTTTGCCAGGCCTAGGAAACTATAGTCTGGATCTGGCCTCCATGACAGTGCCCCTGCCTGCCTCTCTGGTCTGGCCCAGCTGCCCTGGCCTCACCAGCTTGATTCCAGGGGCCCTGGGGCCTCAGGGTACAGGGAGAAGAGTCCCATGAGAAGATCAGT